TCCTGACTTGGGAAAGGCGCAAAAATGCGGCGGGGTTAAACATGTTTATGAGATCTCAACCCTCCCCCTATACCTCTAGCCAATGTAGAAAAGTAAACGCATAACAATACGCACATAATATCTAACATATATAAACTTTATTCAAAAGTAATGGATCTTTCAGGGACAACGTATAATAATGAACAATTAAACAAATACAACAGAACAAGTTCAACAATTATGATGGTAAGAATTTATGATAAATTTATCAGGGTCTAGGTTGGGTTTACATAATAGAGAATATTTCATAATGGGAGAATACTGCAGAAAATGGGCAAAAAAATTTAAAAAAAGAAGAGAATAGTGGTGCTAAATTTAAAAGAATAGAGAATAACGGGCAAAAAAATATAAAGATTAGAATATAAATTACGTTAACATTAAAGAATACATAAATGAAGGACTTCGTCGAGATCTTATTTGTCTGTTAAAAATAAACTTCATGGACGAAGGATGTACGGTGACCTTACATTGCTTATTTGGTGTTTGATAGAGGCTTGACTCGTTGGCAATCATACTATAAAATTGAGAATAGAAATGGGGAATGAGTCAAAGAGACAACAACCCGACCATAGAACAGACAACAGCAGAAGGTCACCAACAGGTCTTCAATGTAGCGAGAAATTCCCGCACCCGGAGGCTTACTTCAGCTGGCCCCTAAACAAATATATATACTAATTCAGTGATAATGAACGCCATACTAAACTCCAAATTGTACACAAGAAACTAAAATTAAAAATAATACAAGACTAACAAAGGCTAGAGGCTCCTGACTTGGGAAAGGCGCAAAAATGCGGCGGGGTTAAACATGTTTATGAGATCTCAACCCTCCCCCTATACCTCTAACCAATGTAGAAAAGTAAACGCATAACAATACGCACATTAAAATTCAGTTCAAGAGAAGTCCGAGTCTGATGTCAGAAGATGTAACCAAAGAAAATAAACAAAATGACAATAATACATAAATAACAACAGACTACTAGCAGTTAACTGACATGCCAGCTCCAGACTTCAATTAAACTGATTGAAAGATTATGTCTTCATCATATGAATATCAGGCACAATCCTTCCCGTTAGGGGTTTAGTATCATACCATCATAACATATATGAGAAGAACATAATCCATGTCATGCCAACAACTGGTTTTTAAATAAATGTGTTTAGTGCCGATGCAAAGACCCTATAAGTGAATCAATATTAACGCCAAAATATGCAATCTTTAATGACCTGACAACAGTATCGTAACTATATCCTTTCTTAATAAGTCTATTTATAGGTTTTGTTAGCTTCAGAGGTGAATACTGACATTTTTGTGCTTTATAAAGAATATTTCCATAACAAATTGGATGTGAAATACCTGAACGTATAAGAAGTCTGCATGTTGAGCTATATTTACGAATGATGTCCTTATACCGATGATAAAATTTAGTAAATGTTTGACTAGTTTGTGATAACGAAAACCCTGGTGTAATAATTTTTCAGTAATACATTAATTTCTCTCGTTAAAATGTAAAACATTGTTATATACACGAGCGAATCGTACAAGTTGAGATATATAAACACCGTAAGATGGTGACAAGGGAACGTCACCATCTAAAAATGGATAATTAACGATAGGAAATGAAAATTCATCTCTTTTATCATATATTTTAGTATTAAGCTCTCCGTTAATGATATAGATATCAAGATCGAGGAAAGGGCAGTGGTCATTGTTATTATTAGCTTTATTTAAAGTAAGTTCAACAGGATAAATTTCTTTAGTATACATACTGAAGTCGTCATTATTGAGAGCCAAAATATCATCCAAATATCTAAAAGTATTATTAAATTTGTGTATCAGATGTTGTTTCGATGGGTCTTTGCTGATTTTTGTCATAAATTGTAACTCATAGCAATGCAATAAAAGTCCGCAATAAGTGGTGCACAGTTAGTCCCCATTGGAATTCCGATAACCTGACGATATACGGAATCTCCAAAGCGAACAAAAATGTTATCTAGTAAAAATTCAAGGGCATATATAGTATCAAAGCATGTCCAATTGACATAGTTTTTTTGTTTATTGCTACTAAAAAATGACCTAAAAGAGTTTGAACATATATATTCACATTCTGACTTTTTAAATGCCCATTTAATTAGGTGTGTGAATTTTTTTTTAATGAGAATGTGAGGCAATGTGGTATATAGGGTAGAAAAATAAAAACTTTGAACAGATTCAAAATCACCAATATATGCATGCAATTTATCAAGTACTTCCAACGAGTTCTTGACACTCCAAAAGTAATTAATTCCACTATTTTCGAAGGCCTTATTTGAACAATTTATTATCAGGTTTTTGATTGTACCAAGTGTACTGGTAAGAAGAATAGACAATTTAGTAGTGGAACAATGGCTTGAAGACGAAATGAATCTATATTTGTAAGGTGTTTTGTGTAGCTTCGGAAGCCAATACATAGTTGGGACTTTCATTGTATTTGGTTCTGCTTGTAAAGCGGTAGCTAAAAGTTTATGTTTGTTACAGATGTCGTTTTATGAAAATGGAGTCAGTTGGAATGTTGGTGAATTGGTGATTTCTTTTTTCAGAACCTCAATGTAAAATTTACGTCAAACAATAATAATATTATTAGCAGCTTTATCGGCCGGGACAAAAACAAATTCCTAGGCTAGTTCTTTTAGTTTATGTTTGATACGAGAAATAGGTTTATTGTGGTTATTGTTAAGAGTAAAATGTTCTTTAAAATGTTGAATACGTATATCAACTATGTTCATTACTGATTTAAAAAAAGAGTCCAAAGATTTTTTGTCAGCTTTTTCCCGTTTTATCCATTTCGAACAGTAAGTATGGAGTGAGTCGTGGATGATATTACGACACTCATTCCAATTAATAATTGACGGGGGACGATATTTAGGTCCTTTACTGAGGAATGATTTTAACTTTCGGTCTTGAACGATGTTAAGATCTCCTGTTATAACATGGGAAATGGGTCCATAAATGTATTCGGAAATACTGCAATTACATGAAGTAGGTGTATTTTCACTGATATTAACATCTTTACACAATTGAACACAAATTTCCGGGTAGATTTCTTGTAAATATAACAAATAAGAGGGAGCTCAGTATTATCAAAATATCCCGGAATTTGTTCTTTAACAGAATGGTCGTTAAAAATATATCTTCTTATCTTTATATATATATCCACAATATTTGAATTCTGGTTGAAAGTTGTCTCATGGGCATCTACTTATTATTGTATTGGCATATAAAAGAATCTAACATAAACTCCATAGGGTAAATATCATATACTAGCAATGCCATACAACACTAGATGTGAAAGCAAAGAATTTAAAATCCGCCATTGAAGTCTGCTGTTCTCCGGACCCACCCCCTAAACCCGTTTTCAACTATATCTATGAAAATATCCAATGGTAGAGAAGACTTAAACAAATAATACTTTACGTGAGAGTTTATTCATATGTGTCTTCAATGATATATTTACACATGACCATCCCCTTGTTTCATTACAATTTATTTGTCGGTACTTTACTTTCTATTTCGGTTGGTCACATAACTTTTTCCTGGGTCTAAATATAAATTTATAGATTTGTTTTCGAAGAACTACGACTTATGTCTTTAAGCACACCTACTATACTATGATTATGGACAACTTCCCATTTACTGGTCACTAAATGTGAAAACACTGCTTTTTGTCAATTTTCAAGTGACGAACAGCTGTAACTTCACTGCGTAGATGACTTTGATGTTGAATGATCCAGATCTTTTCTATATTTTTTAATATGTTTACACACATTCCATCATTCAATAAATTAAAAGTGTGATGACAAAGAATTCAAAAGTTTCTTAATGTATTAATGAGTTCGTGTTCTTGACCCTGTATATGCTTGATATGTTGAAAAAATAACATATTATATAAAATCTGGGCAAAATAGCCTACAAAGTGTAAAAAAAATTAGGATTTTGAAAATTTTATTGATTCACCCAGGAGTGGCAATCATACTTTGACTTACTTGTATGGATATTCGTTTTCGTCTAACATAAACATTGCTTGTAATTACTAGATACATTACTTGGAATTACTTGACACATTACTTGGAATTACTAGACACATTACTTGGAATTACTAGACACATTACTTGTAATTACTAGATACATTACTTGGAATTACTTGACATATTACTTGGAATTACTAGATACATTAATTGGAATTACTTGACACATTACATGGAATTACTAGACACATTACTTGGAATTACTAGACATATTACTTGGAATTCCTGAACACATTATTCGGCATTACTAGACACATTACATGTAATTACTAGACGCATCACTTGGATTTACTAGACACATTAGTTGGAATGACTAGACACATTACTTGGAATTACTTGACAATTTACTTGGAATTACTAGACACATTACTTGTAATTATTAGATACATTACTTGGAATTACTTGAAACATTATTTTGAATAACTAGACCCATTACATGGAACTACTAAAACATTTCTTAAAATTACTAAAACATTACTTGTAATTACTAATATTGATAACTAAAGTTAATCAAATTGATTGCTTAGAATTTTCGTGAATCACTCGTATTTACTAGTCTTTACTTAACATTACTACCTATGAATATGATGATCAATAACTTTGACAAATACAATTACTTAAATGTTACTTGTTTTAGTTATTCAAGTTATTTATTTTTTTCGAATACTGTAAACTCAGAAATTATTGCGAGGTTTATATTATTGCGAAAAATGCGACAGAGTTGTAAACGCAATAATTCAAACTCGCATTTTGAAATATTTTATATGAATTAAACAGGAATTTTCTCAAAATCGTAAAAATTAAAATCGCATTGAAGTCTAAAATGACAAAATCGCAATTATAAATGCACGCAATAATTTCTGAATTGACAGTATACTAAAGGAAAATTGTAGCCGACAACAAACATGCGCTTGTTAAAGTTGAAATCAGTGTATGTTTTTGCACTATTGTGATGGCTTTTTTTTAATTAACACATGTAATTCATAAACATATATATATACATATAACGCTACAAAATACTTATTCAATTTAAATGCTGATCGAAACATTTATATTTCAAATTGCATCCATCATTGACAGTCTTTTATATGATGGATTAAAGAAAGGTTCAGGAAATAGTTTTATTGAGCGCGTGAACATTTGTCTAGCAGATTCGTCATCTCCTACAATCAATAAAGCTACACCTAGACAATTGTAAGACAATGATTTAAAACCAACACCCGGAATGAAATACTCTTCCTCTATTGTTAACTGAAGACTTCCTAGAGATTCCTGATAATGTTTGGTATTGTTGAGATGATAATGACAAAGGAATGATAGAAAATGGGCATATGCTACTGAGGGCAATAAATTACCACGAACATCAACATCAATCTGTAGTTCATCTGGAATAAGGCTAGATTTCTCGTTAAACAGTATGCTATTTAAATATAGAATTCTAAACGCGCGAAATATTCCCAAATTTCTGAATGTTATCGAACGTAAAAGTTTACGTCTCTCGGCAGAAACATATGCAACTTTAAACACTTTTTCTCTTGTGCATTTTCCCAGGGCATATGACAAAACAGTAAGAGCACTATTATATTTCTTCTTTTTGTAGAATAATGACGCAACCATCAACCAACCTGATACAGCATCATGGGTGATACTCTGTAGAAGATAACTGAGACACTGTTTGAATTGTTTATATTGGTACTTGTTACCATATGACCTGGATAGATTAATTGTGTCTGCAATATACGAAGTAATTTGAGTTATATTGTATGATAAAATAGATCTTAATTTTCTTGACTGACTTGAAACCGCCAGGTATACGGTTTGTACATAAACGTTCGAGTCTCTAGTGTTTAAAAGGTCCATTACTATTGATTTCATAATTTTCTCGAAATTACTTTCAAACAAACTAATTTCCCTATAATTGAAATGTGACACTAACATGGACATTTGTGATGAAAAAAAGATAGATCGCCATTCGTATTTCATTAATGCATTTAATGAACCTAACAGTTTTGTCCTGTCGTGTCCAAAAATCTTATTTTCAAAAAGATTATTTTGTGGAATAAAATAATGTGGACAAATCGAGTACTCCACACAATAGATAAGTCTCTTGAAACATCTCATAAAGCAAGGTATTAAATTTTCTGATATCCACGCCGATCTTGGCAATTCTTCAGATAACCAGAATAAGATAGTCTTAATGAAGTAAGAACAGAGTAAATCTTCACATCCTTGGGTCTTACTAATAACATCTTTCAGGAGAATTTTCATTAAAGCATAACAAAGCAATTGTGTATGAGTAAATGTATGAATCAGATATTTTTCACCTACAGAGAATGATATACGCCATATCAAATCATTGTTTAGATGTCTCCCTGCGCCTATGGGTACAAATAGGACACCATGATCTTTAATTCTTTGTTTTAACTCTTGTGTGGGCCATGACTTGTTTGATCTAGTAAGCCATTCTGAAGCTATATTTATCCATGATTTCGAATGTAAGCAAAATGCCAAATCATATTCTTCTTTATCATCGGATATGCACGGTCCATGAATAACTGAAAATAATCCACCAGCATGTTGATGCCTAAACAATACACTTGAAAGATATAATTGTCCTTCAACATGTCGACACATCAAAATATTTTCGTCCACAATTCCCTTAATTAGACGTAAATATGCAAAGCCAGACTTAACATCGTGTGTGTCTAATAAAAAGTATGCTTTATCAGAATTATAATGATGCAGTTTCGTTTGTTCAATAATTTCTATACATGAATATGCATACATTATATCTATGTCACTCCCTTTCAGCTCAAGTCCTTCACCGAAACTACCACTAGTGATGTGTGTATAATATTTATTGCTATGTGTGTGGTCCCTGGTTGCGTTCGACAATCTGATCAGTTTGATATAATCTTCTGATCCGACAATATTCTGACATAGGTAATCATACAAGCAAATGGACATATCGATATCTGTTGTGGAGTTAACTGCTAAAAAGAGGAATTAAAGTATAGTTTGTGTAAATGTATTAAAAACGTTATAATTGTTTATACTTTATTTTGTTAAAGAACATACAAAAACAAAAGAAATATTAAAAAAAAGATTAGGTAATTGCTTGTTGTTTGCCAGATGCATTGAAATAAAATGAAAAGAAATCACGTTATGAAAACATGGCTACTCTCACCTCTTTCTGTCACGGAATATACAAAAGGAATTACCAGGCTCTTGCTACACTAAAGTTTTATCATCAATCGATCAAAGATCTTTTTGTACTAAAACATGTAAAACGGCCATTCTTATAATATGACATCGGCTAGTGCTTTTTTTTTATTTACAATTTATTTATCCGTAAGTTTAAGAACTGAGAATTCAAAAAGATATTTTAACTTTCATGTTTGTTTGTTTGAAGACACAAGTTAAACTAAAGACATCATCTCAATTTTATAATATTTTCATGAAAGATCTTTTAAACACTTTAAGTGGATTTTAGTTATAATTGCTGTGTAAAGATTTTAAGAAAAATACGAGCCTGAAATGGATTCATCATAGCTTGATTGCGAAATAGTATAGAAAGGATCAGTGAATCTGAATATTGAATACAATAACTTTTACGGTCGTTCTGTTAAGCATCAGTATTCAATATATAGCACATGTATATTTTCCACATGGATAAGAAACAAGTAATACATAAATATCGTACAACATTTACACAGTATTCACGAATTATTGAGTTATAGGATGAAATGAGTTGTTAGAATTATGTTATGTTAAGTGCTATTTGACTAAGATAGCAAAGCAAAAAAGTATAACAAAAATACCGACTCCAAGAAAAATTCAAAAAGGGGAAGTTCTATAAAAACTGACAAAAGCAAACGCTATCAATAAACGGAAAAAGTGAAGAAAAAAAAAGCCATATTCCTGACTTAGTATAGGCATTTTCCAAGGAAAACAGTTAGGTAACCATGGTTTTATAGCTAGCTCAATCTCCCACTTGACAGTTGTTTATAGTTCTTCGTTATTGCATAACTGATAGAGCAACTGAAATAGACATAGCAGGTTAATGAAACACTATTTTGTTTGTCTTTTATTAATAACGACAGAGACGTCCCCATCTTACCAATACTATATTTACTACATTGTATTTCTAAGTATACTAATTATGGTGTGTTTTTGTACTTTCAGTCACCTTATATTCTTTTCAATTCATGTATGGAAATAATTAATAAGCTATAATAATATGATGATTATTTCGGTATGATTACATGTTCATGTTAACTTGGTATCAAAAAACGGGAGATAATATTGACATATAAAAAACGAATCTTCGCCGCTAACTTATACTAATACTAATAAAAAATAGAAGATATGGAGTATCCATTCACGACACTAAATCAGTACATGCACAGCAATAAACGCACAAATAACAAAGGGACAGCCCTTTTATTGCTGTTCTTCACCGCAAATTCATAGTGATGCCTTCAACACGGACCAAAGAAATATCTCACCTCACTTCAAGTTTAAGACGGTCCCTTGTTTGAGCGGAATTCTTTGCCTTAGAAATATTATCATACCTCATGAAACTCCACAACATATTAATAGGATCTATATACAGGAAGAATATGACAAATGCGACAGAAATTTTAAAATCATTTGAAAGATTTACATTTCAAATAATCACTTACCGGCCATCACTATATATTCCTTCTGCAAAAATTACTTTGATGAGTTTCTTTCTTTATCTATGTCTGCCTTGTATTTGAAAACCTGAAAAAAACAGAATATTGTGTGAGTACATTTTAACATTTTACGCCATGATGAACTTACCTTTTACTCACTTCCCATTTTGGTTCTACTACAAGTAAGGGTCAATTTCTGAGGGTAATAACTGTCTTATCACCAGTCTAGTAGTCTTCATTATTACATCGGTAGTGACAATATTCATTTCAAATATATATTTGCTAGATCTTATAGTAAACTGGTTCTAAAACGAACATTACAGCTCCTGTATGCAAGTTAAGCATATACAACACGGGGATGAATGTATATTAAAATAAAAACTTTCTCTGTTTGCATCATATCCTGTTTGTAGTAAATGGTATTCCAGTGGTCGTGGTTGATATAAAATGTCAAACTGAAAATTCATATAGTTTGATATGTCTCATTATCGTTCTGTACAAACAATTATTATGATTTTCAATCACATTTCCATTGAAAAGAAAGAAAATACCACCTTTGTCTGAAATGTCTGTGATATTTTGAAATGCATGTACGTTCTTCAAATGACTGTTGTATATTTCTACCATGTCAAATATTTGGCTTTGAGCGTTCCTGATAAAGGTGAATCCAGAAATGCGCCTCGGACGCATAAACTTTATAAAGTGCTGTTTTCATTTTTTACAGCACTGGGTCGATACATCTGGTGAACTATCATCGGCCCAGTAGTCATTACTTCGGTAATGACATGATTTATGACAAACCTTTCTAAAATTGTCTGTTAATGAATTTCGAAATCATTAGAAACTAAGGTTTCAACACCCCCAGGCAAAATTTACCTTATATGGATTTGGCTTATATTTTTGGGTCCCTTTTGGTAATATAGCTCTTCAACTGTTTCGGTTCAACAACCTGACATTCTGTCCATTCGTTTGATGTGTTTTATCATTTGATTTTGCCATTTGATTAGGGACTTTCCGTTTTGAATTTTCTTCGGAGTTTAGTATTTTTGTGATTTTACTTTTTTCTGTAAGATCAATTTATAATTGAGATAGCTGTAAAATTTTATGAAAATCCAAGTTGATTTGAAAAAGTTATAGAAATAATTAAAGGTGACTATCTGAATTTAATCAAAACTGAAAAAAAATCTAGTTTTTTTACCTATTAGTTAAATCTTTTTTAAAATTTTACAGAAATGAACCAAACTACCAAATAACCTGGAACTTTGTAAGATCAATATATAACTGAGATAGATGGGCTGATTCAGACCAGTCTATACTTAATTTAAAGGTCAAGACTAGTCGAAAACAAAATATCGTCTTTTCAGATTCTGATCATTTTTTAGTGTTAGAGCTTCGAACTGTTATAGAATATAATTCTTTGCATATATTTATTTGAGTATCTCATTGCTTGGAGTTTTCAAAAATAGAGAAATAAAAACGAGTTCTAGGGTAGAATGGCTTCGTTCAGAAACTTTTCTAAAGCAGTATAACTGTTCTAAAGACTGTTATAGAGACGGCACAAGAACATGTTTATTCGGTTCCTAAAAGATTTAAAGAGAGGTTAGAATTCATCTCAACTTACATTAAAATATTGCAAGAGAAAGGTCCCTTCTATGAGAATTGTTTTTTTCAGCATTTTGCTCAAATTTGAATCTTTCGCAAGCTTAATTACTTAATAAGTGAAGTAAACTACTGAAACTATATATGTACCATAGATTTGTTGCTTTCACAACTATCCATCAGAAATGAATCACATTTTCTTGGCATAACAACTGCAAAAAAGGTTTATATGTAAATTATCAAACTTTTGCCGAAACAATATTTTCGACAGCTCGTGTAATTCTTAGAAAAAAAAACTTTCTACTATTACGAAGAAAATTTTGAAATGTTTCCTTGTAAATTATTGAATTAAAAATAAGAATTACGTATAATATAATGTGACATCATTAGGAGTGGGCGTATAACAGAAAAGTGAGAATAAAATAACTGAAAGTATCATCATCATCTTGTCTTTCCTTTTAGTGTAAATATTTAAATAAATATCCTAAAAAATCAATACCTGAGAGAATAATATGAATATTGTATGAAAAAAAGTAAAACAAAAATACAGAAGTCAAAGATAAATTCATAAAGAGGAAGTCTTTAAAAAAAATGACACAATCAAAAGTTGGACAAACATTTATTGTCAGTATGACTTAGTACGTTTTATCCGCTTTGGTGGCAAAACCCATAAAAATAGTCTATAACATTATGTCATTGTTAAAGTATGAAAATATTTTCTATTTTTCAGCTGTATGATTAGGGCATCATTGATGATTGTTTTGTAGATAACCAGCATTTGACGTACTAGCTATACGCTTGCTGTATGCATATATATCGATTAGATATTTGGTACAGACTGTTAGTTCAGAAATTTTTGAAATGTTTTTTGCACATATTGGCGAGTTTTGGGAGTGTCTATGAGCCACTCGATATTCCTCGGCATCACGATTCTCGGAACGTCTCGAAAATTTTCCATCATTTCAAGTTTAGTTATTTATATGTCTTTGATACGGCCCAAGGCTACCACGTGACATTGTATAATTCAGCAATCCGGGTATTTGAAAGTAAAACAATAAAGACTAGGTTGCACCTGGGAACAGTATATCTAACGGGAAATGAATCTGATACGCTTTTCAGTATAAAATTGATAAAATCTCGGACTCCCCGAGACTTCCCAAGATTTACGGATTTTGGTAGCGTCTGACTGAAAAACTATCAGAACTGCTCAACAAATAAACCACATAACTCTAATTGTAAATAAATACAAGTTTTATCATTTAGTAGATATATTTTGTCATATAAAATTACCAAAATAAGTTTGATTTATTTGATGTGAAGTGTTTTATAATAGTTTGGGAATTTGTAAATCATCGCGGCAATGGCCGCCATTTTTTTATTACCTGGTTTGCATTCTGCACAATTCTGTGATGAAATGCTTGCGATTTTAACAAATTTGAAGTGACAGAATACAAGTTTGATACACTAGCATCACTATAAAACTAGTTTGAATGACATTTAATTGATAATATCAGAAATTATTAGGATAATAGCGAGTCCGTTTTTAACACATGTCCGTTTCTGTATCGTATCTTTATTAACTATGGCACGACGATAAAATCGACTACAATCAGGTAGTGTCAAGTCCCGTCAATATATATGTTCCTGGTTGCACTCTAAAATCATTTATATGTAAGA